TTTTCCAAAACCAGCTCAACGTCTCACACGTGTAACATAGATTGATTTTTGTCAATTCTGATGAAATATACAATGAACTAAAGCAGCACATTTTCAAAAATATTATCTGTCAAAATTTAGTTTTAATTCACATATGGAGATAAAGTACTTACTATCTTTCAAGGTTGCCATATTTCGAACTTGGATCCTGAGAATAAAGGTGGTAAAAAAATTTTTAGCTGTTTGAAAAATTGCTCCATGATACAAGAAAAACTTTCCAAGTTAATATATTTAAAGAGTGTCCTATAAAGAAACTATCAAATATAAGACTCTGAATGTGTACGTGTGTATGTGTTTTATATATATATATATAAATTCTTACTGATACCAACCCCCTATATCAAAGGCCTCATCCTATGTGACAGCTAGCAAAGCTTCCACCGACTTCACAAGGGCATTCACACATGTCCTAGTCCTGCCCCCATGTCTCTGCCTACACTTTCCATGAGAAAAGTCCTCCCGTGGTTGGGCTGTCCAATTGCACTAAAATCAAGGTCAGCCACCTCCAAAAAGCATCTCTCAGTTCTTAAGGAAGTTCCTGACTCCTTGAGTTCACCAAGACCGTTTCAAATAACACTTAGGGTCAATTACACATCCTAACATGACCACATGTGGGAAACCACAGTTTATTTAAACCGATTCTTAACTCTTCCAGCTCAGTTTAACAAGCATTTACGGAGCAGCTACTCTGCTCCAGGACGTGGTCTCACCACAAGAAGCATATTTTTACCTCCTAAACAATGTACATGCAAACTTAGATTTACATAAAATTCATATTGAATATTTTCTACAGTCTTTAAATTGCTAATGCATAAAAATCAAAAGGATCTGACCTAAAAGTACTGCTAGTGGAAGATAAATGAGAGGACCCGCTGCCCACTGAAGACATGTTGTCAAATATACATTATCTTTCAGCTCCTAAGTCCACAAAGTACTTGTGTTGGTCTGGAAAGCTCCGGCAGGAGAACTAAAGAATCAACAAATTTGTGCATAAAGAAGGAGGGCCTTAGGAGGGCATCCTGGGAACTGGATGGGGTTTTGAAGCTGGAGACATAACTTGGGTTAGTAAGTTGAAATATTATTTCATAGGTAGCAGGGAAGTGATGAATGCTTATAAGCCCACACATCAGTTTAGTCTTTCAGTAAAGTATCTCAGATGGCACAGAGAAGCCCAAAATGACAGTGAATGTGGATGACATGGAGGCCAAGTAAGGGGCTGCTTGCAGCTTACAAACAAGAGAAGGCAAGAACCTGGAATGAGACACTGTACTAAAAAATAGACTTAAAAAGTCTATTACAAAAAAAAAAATGAAGGTTGTGAAATGAGATATGGTGGCAGTTTAGAGATTATATGGGCTTATGTGCATAAAAATAAGTCTGAAAGGTCATCACTAGAACAGTTATCTCTTGACTTATACATCTTACCACTGGTATTAACCAGGCATAGAGAAAGAAGAAGAAAAGAAAATACGAGGAAGGAGACTATATGAAAAACACTAGGTTTGGTTATAAAGATGGATGCACTAAGGAAAAGATGAAAGCTGCCGAATACTGAGGAGTTCCACTAGTTCAGAGTGCCGACTCATCACCACAACGACCATCCCATCAGCAAGTTAACAGCATCCCGGGGATGATTTTTTTTTTTGGAAGAACGTTTTTGTCCCAAACCTTCTAAATTTAGAGACTGTAAGGACCGAGGGTCTTCTGTGATTCTTTGTTATGCACATGCCCGAATTTCCTGTTTAGCCTTTAGTTCTAAAGTTCTTTATTTCTTTAAAATTATTTTTTAAAAATCTTTTTTTTTAAAAAAAGCTCTTTCTTTTTAAAGTACAATTTGAGTACAAAATAACTATGAACTAATCTGAACTCTCTTTAGGGATAGGGTGACCTACCGAATATACAGTTTTTGCAAATGAGAAGATAAAGGAAGCTCTGAATCAGCTGTGGGTTCTGGAAAATTGCATCATGTCATGAGAAATCTTCAGGAGGTTATCTGAGAAACTAGAAACATTAAACACAGTGGAGGGCACACCACACAGATAGATGGTGGATTTACCATCACCTACCCTGACCGCACGGCATTGTTAGAAAAGCTGAAGATTTTCAGTGGAGGAGAGAGTTGGGGAGGTTGACAGATGAACGATTTATCATGAAAGAATTTTAAGGAGTGTATAATGCTGAAGAACATAAAAATTAAGGCGGAAGTAGCATCTGCTAATTCCTAGGGAAGAGAAAATTATGAAGTACGTCTAATTCGAATATTGAATGCCTGCATGAAAGTCCACCCCCCGCCTCTCCACCAAACGACTCCCTTGAACTTCACCGCCAACACTACCCACAACTCAGCCTTGTTAGGCTCTAACCTTCACGCATGACACTTCATGTAAAAAGTGTATGTATAAATTCACTTTCATTTTTCAATGGACACATCTGGATCCCCACAAGCATCTGATCCTCACGCTTACCCAATGAATTGTGTACTATCATTTCCCCCATTTAACAGATGAGGAAATGGCACACAGACACTGAGTAACTTGCCCAAGGCCACGCAGGGAGGTGAATGGCAGTCAGGGTTCAAATCTGGGAGGTTTGGCACATACTGCTGCCTCTCATTCTCACATTTTTTTTTTACATTTAAAAGCAAGTATCTGCTACCCCAGTCTCAGAGGACAACCCTCTTCTCTCCTGAAATGCCACCTCTTCCTTTTCAGTATATATAGTTCAACTTATGGCCATTGGTTTCCTATTATAAAATAGTTTGATTTTAGAGAATGTGGAACACTAGGAAATAGAAATGCATTTCCCCACGATTTCAGACAGAAAAATCAGAGACTCCTTTTCCCCCAAATTTCTTACTTCCAATTTCTTAATTTCCAAAAATTTAGGGTATTTTACTGACATCCCAAACAACAATTAAAATAATTTCACTATAGTTTTAATTAAGCCTAATGTTTAATGTTGGTATGCTAACCTCTCTGAAACAAAAACTAATAACAAACTGCACTTTAAAAAGCTTTCAGTAACCAAAACAGAACCGAGAGAATGCCTCTTCCTGGTTCCGTAAAGGCAAAGGTATATTTCCCTGCCAACTTAATTACGTGGCGTGCGAAACATGAAGTTGGTTTTAATTTCTGAATTTAAAAGGCAATTACAGGGGGGAGGGTATACCTCAGTGGTAGAGTGCCTGCTTGGCATGCAAGAGGTCCAGGGTTCAATCCCCAGTATCTCCAGTAAAATAAATAGACCTAATTACCCCCTCTCCCAGATTTTTTTAAAATTAAAAGGCAATTACAGCGATTAGGAAGGTTAAAGCAGAAGAGGCAGGAAAGACATCAGGCATCAAGAGTGATGGACTATGTGCAAAGGAAGAGGACAGAGTATGCTTTCCATAGTGGAACAGCAATGCTTAATGAATATTCAAACCTACCCACTGAAAACCAACACTCCAAAGAGATAAAGATTAAGGTCAGGACTTGGACATTTATTCGCTGCGTGAGGTTCCAGTTTAAGCCCCCAGCAGCAGTTATCTCAGGCGGAGAGACAGCTTAAATGATCCCTTATTAGAAGATCTCCAAATTATCTCATAGGTTTTTTTAAAAAAAAGTTATTTCTATAATTTTATGTAAAATATTTTGTCCTCATTTCAGCAAATGTCCAGTTTTAAAAGATCAACTTGGATGATTTAAGGTTCTCAAAATATTTACAGGTAACATCAATGCACAACACATGGGAAAGAAGGAAGGCTGATGTTTGCAGAGCACCTCTGCCTGGCAGCGTAGGCCCCACAAAGCGCACTAGGACCACGTCTATTTGTGTACCACCGCATTTTAGCACTTCCCACAGTACCAACTTGGTGCAGGGAAAGCACCCAGCAAATGTGTGCTGAGTGTTAAGAAACGGAACTATCATTACAAGTGAGAATATAGCTAAGGCGACTTCCTAATTCTCATGAATTCTCCTTCAATATTAGGGAGGGAAAAATCTGACTTCCAAATCCACCAACATTCGTATGTAAGTTTTTCACAACAGATTTAATTACTTCATTACCCTGAAAATCTTTCATTGTTATTTGCTGCATAAAAACGTTACCTATTTCAACAATGCTTTTTAGAGTCCCTTCTGGTAAGTTAGGATACAAAGATCTAGTTTAGTGCATGACTCCTTAGAATTCTCCTTTCCTGTAAAACCGCGGAAGGCTACACACAGCCTAATAATCCCCTTAGCACCGTGTCTGAAATTCTTTCAGACTCTTGTCTTCGCTCCAAGACATTTCATATTATTACAGGGTACCACCGCAAACCAACGTTTATCTGCCTATTCCTAGGCCGCCTTATGTGCAGGGTTTTTTTTCTTTTTTCGGGAACCAATGTTTAAAATCCTTAATACGTGCATGGCAGTTGACAGATGACGCTTACAAGTCCATCTATCTCCTTCTCTTGGGGACCTCGGGGCGATGTCATGACCTTGCAGGGTTACTGCTTCAGCAAAACGGTTTCAAGATCGTGCTAGGTGTCTCTCCCTTCCTCGCCAACAAAATCTTGAGGGCCCCTCTGCAGCCCATGAGGACACTCATTTTATCCTCCTGTGCCAAGCAAACGCCGGCTGCGTGGTCGGTGCTTAATGCACATCGCGGGTTGTTGCGCTCTGCACTGGAGGGCTTCCAAAGGCCTCAAGGACAAAAGGCACACCTTAACCTTCCCAGGACCTCCCCTCCCCGCGTTAAGGAGCCGGGGTAAGGACTCCTCGATGCTCGCGGCCTGACTCCCTAAGGATTGTCACTGAGTGAATCCAAGACCGCCCTGAAATTAACTCGGACCCCGATGACCACTCCTCGTGGCCTTCACCCCGCCCCACCCCGCGTCAGGAGACGTGGCTGGACTTCGCTGTCTCCGCGGCCCCTTCGCGCGCCCTTTCCCGGTTCCGAGCGCTTCCTGAGCCCGGGCCTCTACGGGACGCGGGCCTCGCAGGCCCTGCGACCCCTCTTCCGCTCCACTCGCCTCCACTCGCTCCCCCTGCCCCTCGCCCGAGCTCTTCCCTCCCTCGCAACCCTCCTGTCCACACCGCAAGCTGCCATACCATTGCGGCTGCACCGCCCAGGCGGAGAGCCCTGCGACGCCGGCCCGAGAGAACATGGTGATACCCGCCCGGCTGAAGGTCGGTCAGACGGGCCTCAGGGCGCGTGCGCGGAGGCTTCCCGGCGCGCCCAGCCCACCCCGCGCTCTCCTTCAATCCCGCTTCTTCAGCCTCGCGAGAATTTGGGCCCAGCCTTCCGAGGCCCCACCTCCTTCCGGCTCGCAGGCCGTACTTGTCCCGCCCATACCCGCCAGCCCAGTTCCGCTTCCGGTCGGCGGAGCGCTGGGCTGTGGGAAGTCAGCGCTGTGGTGGTCGCGATGGGGAAGTCGGATTTCCTTACCCCTAAGGCCATCGCCAACAGGATCAAATCCAAGGGGCTGCAGAAGCTGCGCTGGTATTGCCAGATGTGTCAGAAGCAGTGCCGGGACGAGGTAAGCGAGCCCGGGCTCACTCTTCTTACATTGAGTATTGGCTGCCGTTCTTTTGTAAAAGAGCTTTTTCTCATTCATTAGGGCTGTTTGGTTATCCTCACTTGTCATCTCCAAATGTGGTTCCTGCTGGAAAGAGAGGATAAGTGTTTACTTCCTTCCTCTAATCACCAGTTTTCAGAGTAGGACAGTTGCGGTGGTTCTGGCCTGTTTGGCTTCAGGTCTGTTCACGGCCCTTCTGTACCTGGGAGGGCAGCCTGGGGGCGGTGGAGCCGCCCTGTGAGCCCCCTGCCCTGTATTCTGTCTCAGTACTGGAAGACTGAGGGGGAGGAAGGTCAGAACTAGAGTATCCCCTCCTGCCCGCCCGCTCACTTGAATTTCTAGAATTTAATAACATTATTTTGTTTTCATTTTATTGATTTATTTGTCATTTACGGAAAGTGGTGCTGGTTTTTCATTTCTTTGATACCAAGTTTCCTTTTAAGATGGATTTAAGTAAGAGGAATGGACAGGTAGTACACAGATGAGGCAGGAGTTGTGCAAGTGGTCTGTGGATAATTACAGATTAGGAAGCTGCTCTAAGCAAGACTGAGTGTTGAATTCAGGACAGCTGCAGTGCGCCTGAGCAGAGGCAAAGGATAAGGGTTTTTAGGAAGGCTGAGAAGGCTTAGTGATGGATAGAACGTGAAACGTGGATGCTGTCCTCGGTCCTGGCCTGGGTGCCGGTACAAGACAGTGGTGTACACTGAGCTGGAGGAACAGGAGAGGAACATTTTTCATTTCTTTTACTAGTGAAGAGTCAGGTTCAAAGGTTAAGTAGAATCAATACAAAGTCAAAACTTGTGTTTGTTTTTTACAGTCATCTGAAGAAGACACAGATTTAGTATGTTAAAATAGGTTTATGCAACAGTGTATTTTGCATAATGAGCTAAAGTATAGGAAAGTGAGTGAAAACAATTTCCTTAATGGAAATTCACTAATGACCCGTTTTTACTTCATTATATTCCTCAGGATGCTGGCATAACTCTTTGTATGAAGTAGGTGCCTGATAGGAATTTGTTAAATTGAGTAAAAAAATGATACCACTCTTCAGTTGCTGGCCCTGTAGTTTTTCTCACCAATCTCTGTTTCCTAAAGCACTCTTTTTCTTTCTCTTTAATCTTCTGACTTTGATCAGCAGGGTTGCAAAATTCAACTTCATAAAAAAATTGTTTTTTTATGATAGGGTGCTTACAGCCAGTGGCATGATTATTTTCTTTTCTTTCTTTTTTTTTTTTTTTTTTTACAACTTATCATCCAAGAGCAGCTTTTCAGGGTTTAATGAAATACTTGTATTTAGGGCCCATTATAATGAGCTAAGTCAGACTTTAACGACTACCTTTACATTTTTGTAGAATGGCTTTAAGTGTCACTGTATGTCCGAATCTCATCAGAGACAACTACTGCTGGCTTCAGAAAATCCCCAGCAGTTCATGGATTATTTTTCAGAGTAAGTAACTCAAAGACATCCTGACCTCGTAAGCATTATTCAGTTGGACATTTAATAGATGCTCAATGTTTTATACATTGGAGGCTCTGTTTATTCCTTACATATTAACGTGATAGCTGTGTTATCTTTATGCTCGGTTTTTGTCTTCTTTTGATAATGTATCATGAAATGGAATTAAAAAAAGTATTTCTTATGTTTCAGTCTTTCCTTCCTTTCACTTGAAGCACAGGAAAAAACTATTTTTCATTCTAAAGCAATTGTGGCTAAGAGCACAGCTCTGGAGTCAGACTGCCTGACTTTACATCCTTCAAACCTAGGCTTCTCCACTCAGGAGCTGTGTGACTTTGGGTGAATTACTTGAGTCTTTCTGTGCTTTGGTCACCTTATCTGTAAGTATTGTATCTTCCAAGCATTGTGTTCCCTCATAGGGTTTACATGAAGATTAAATGAGTTGGTACTTTTAAAGTGTTTAAGAGTGCCCCATGCTCATCAGTATTAGCTGTTAATTCTTACTGTTATTGCTATCAGTATTTAATCTTGCTTCTGTATGTCTCTTTCTAAAGTTCTAGACCTTTTGATCTTAGGATTCCTTTATCCTCTTAATAATTATCAAAGGACCCCAAAGACTTGTTTATGTGGGTTATATCTATTGGTACTTGTAAATTAGGGATTAAATCTGGGAACTTAAAAAAAAATTATTTAGTAATTCATTTAAAATAACAATAATGAGCCTACTGTCTGTTAAAATAAATATTTTAATGAAAAATAACTATATCTTCCCTCGAAAATGTGATATTGCATTACATTTTTGTAAATCTCTTCAGTGTCTGACTTAATAGAAGATAGATTCTCACATCTGCTTCTGCATTCATTCTATTTTGAAACGCTGCTTTGCTTGAAACATATAAAGAAAGTTCAGCATTTACATAGGTGTGGAGTTGGAAGTGGGGGGCATATTTTAATAGCCTTTTCACATAATTTTGGATATTCTTCTTTGATACTACATCAAAACATGGTAGCGTGGTAATTTCTTAAAGGTTAGTTGCAGTGTAGAATCTGAGACCATATCAGCTAACTTTTTGTGTGCTATGACATTAAAATCCATTTGATCTTTCACTTTAAGTGCATTTTGTACCCATGCATGATTTTGTAACGTCACCTACTGGCCATTTGGAAAATACCGGTTCCCTAAGTTATGCAAGTGTTCTGAAAGTCAGAACAGTGATGCATTCTGTTATGCAAAATCATAAATCATATTCATTAATGTCAGCATCAACGTTGTCAGAAACGTCTGTAAGTATTGGGAAGTATGTCATAATCACGGCGACTGGGCACCAGGTGATACTGATGTTGCTGGTCTGGGGACCAGACTTTGAAAATTATTGTTCTCAATGCTGTACTGACCCCAAGATTATCTTTCTAAATCACAGATTTTCACAAGTCAATTCCTAGGTAAATTATTTAGTGCTTTTTTTATTGTCTCCATAAAACCCAACCTCTTTAGCTTGACATTTCAAGGTATTTCAAAAAGTACAAATAAATAAAGTATCACTTTATTTCCCAGGCACAACTGGTTTACCGAAATTCAAATTGCGACTTAAAAGCTCAGCTTTTATCATTGGCGACAAATACCGTCAGTTGTTTTCTTCGACATGACAGGCTCACCTTGTTTATTTTTGAGAAATTATCTACTGCACACTTAATTTGGAATAACTCTATATGTCTATCTTTCTGTCAAGTAAAAACAATGTTCCATCGTGGAGAAGATAGTCGGCTCACAGCTCAAACAGTAGCACAAATGCTTTTCCTTAAGACAGTTATTGTACAGCAGGAGAAGTAGTTTATGATTATTTCATCACAGAGGGTATTAAAAGGACATGTAATCAAAAGCTGAGGTTTAAGACAATTAGTAATACTGAGTTCTTGATGAAACTAGCATTGGTTTTCACTGTGAGTGCCGGGGGTGAGAACCCATTGACTGCTAGTAGAGACTGGTGTCCCTGCCCACTGCCGGGGCTCGGCGAGGATGCCACAGGCGCACCTCTGCCCCAGCTGGGAATGGCCTTCTCTCCCTCTTCACCTGTAAAAGGCCCATTTATACTTCACTGCGCATGCTAAAGACCACCTCCAGACATCTCTGGGTATCTCCTTAGGTCTTCCTGTGATCTTTTGTTATGTCTGTTTTTCAGTTTGGCTTCTGTTATGATTGTTCCTGCTAGATTGTAACCTCGGTCAAGATTTTTGTCTTACTCACTTATGCTTATCTGCACATGACACATTGTGCCCTGCTCAGAGGGACAAGTGAAGTTGCCGCCTTCAAGTGGGAAGGGCATTTTTGTTCCCATCACTGGAATGGGATGGTTGTGCCACATTCAGTAGCACTGAGACTTCATGAAGGACCCTCTCCAAAGCTGTGTGGTCACTTTTGCTGTGCTGGCTTTGCCAAGACAGAAGGTTTCAACTCTAAACTGACTTTTAACTTTTAATTCTTGAAAGCTATAATCTTTCGGGATTCTTCCCTTGTTGAGCTTTTAAAGGTTCATAACAGGTGTTCACACAGATGTTTCATGTGTCATTTGGGCATTCAAACCATACCATGGCTTCCATTTCAGGAAGGTGATGCTATGTATTTGTAGAAATTACCTTAATGCTTTCCTTGCTTTCTTTATTAGGGAATTCCGAAATGACTTTCTAGAGCTTCTCAGGAGACGCTTTGGTAAGCCTCTGAAGTGTTGTGCACATAACAACTACTTTGTAATCTCGTAATCTGCTCCGGATCAGCAGTGTCCTATCTGTCCTCAGGCACCAAGAGAGTTCACAACAACATCGTTTACAACGAATATATCAGCCACCGGGAGCACATCCACATGAACGCCACGCAGTGGGAGACGCTGACGGACTTCACCAAGTGGCTGGGCAGAGAGGGTGAGAAGGAGACACGATCTGAACCGTGGTTGTGTCGCTGCATTGCAGGCAGAGTGGGTTGTCATGTTTTCTGCGTAAGTTTGTGGAAAATAAGAAGAGTAGGGCAATTAGAAACTGACGGAGAGGCGTGGTCTTCCAGGACTGATTTTGTGCGCTGTGGCTGTGTAAGAACGTCCGCTGTGGTCCTTTGACGGTGCGAAGATTTACCACTGAAGCGTCCGCACATTAGGTTAAGGGTCCTTACCTGTCCTTTTCCATCCCCCACCCAACACACACGCGCTCATTTCACTTTTTCGAAACTTTTGTTATCCCTTTGTAAGGTGATTTTTTAAAAAGTTTGCTGCCTCTTTTTCCATTTCTAATAGGATAGGAAGTTTGAGGAAAGAAAAGAGAAAGAAATTTACTTATTCAGTGTGTTTCTTTACCCATTTTGTGGGGGGCGTAATTCTTGCGTCGCAGAATATCATGCATTCTGCGGATGGGAAATACTTAGACACATTTGAATAATTACTGAGCAAGGTAATGTTTTTTTTCATGTGTTCCCCTTGTTTAAACATGTTGCCTCAGCCTAACTAGTTGGAAAGCAAAATAAGAATTTTTTTCTGTTTAAAGAGAGAAATTTTTCGTTTAAAATCTAAATTTTACTAGCTGTAAAATATGGAAAATTCATGTGCTGTATACATTTGTGTATTTGAATGTGTTTGAATGAGTGTATTTGAATGGATGAGTAAATAATGCAGACTTGGAACACACTTACATTTACTTTCAGCTTTGATTGTATACACAATTACTGCGTGTGTTACTTTTTTTAAGGCTTGTGCAAAGTGGATGAGACACCAAAAGGCTGGTATATTCAGTATATAGACAGGGACCCGGAAACCATCCGCCGGCAGCTGGAACTGGAGAAAAAGAAGAAGCAGGACCTTGATGATGAAGAAAAAACTGCCAAATTTATCCAAGAACAAGTGCGAAGAGGCCTGGAAGGGAAAGAGCAGGTGGGCATCACCATTGTATTCCTTTGTGAGATCTTATAAGGGCATTAGCTAAAAAAATATTTTAGCTAGATCTCAAGGTCATCTTTTTTTTTATTAGTAGAAACAGCTATTGACATCATTTATCAAATACTTAATGTGGCAGGGACTATGCGGAGTGTCTCCTTTGTACACCCTTAATCCTTATCACAGCTCTAAATACATACATGATTAAGCCTTCAGGGAGGCGATGAGGTTGACCAGGAAGCCAAGGCTACTGGGGGCAGAGGTGGATGTTACATGCAGTTCTTTGAGTTAGTCTGACCACTAAATCGTCCCACAAGAGAGAAAGGTTTTGCTTTTGAAAGTAATCCTCTAGCTAAGAGTCCTAAAGTTTATTGCTTTATGTTGTTGCTTTCTGCCTAGATTGTAGTAGAAATGAAAATGTACGTGAACTTCTGGAGTTTGGTACAGAAAAGCTACTTCTTCCCCCCGTAGAATAATTCCCCACTGGAGAGTATCTGCAGCACGTGTCATCTGTCAGTATCTTAACCGTTTAGTCATAATTCAGGACTACTGAATATTAATAAGAAATGCATTGTGAACCAAACCTTCAGCCTCTTTTTTCTTTTTTAAGGAGGCCCCTATTTTTACAGAATTAAGCAGAGAAAATGATGAAGAAAAAGGTAGTTTTACTTTTCTTTCTTCCTTTTAAAATATGGATGCTTTTGTACTGGCTTTGCCAAAAAACTAGCAAGTTGTTTGGGAGCAAGATGTGTTATCTGTCTGGGGAAGGAGGGGATAGCTGGATAGCTCGGTGGGTAGAGTTCGTGCTTAGCATGCACAAGGTCCTAGGTTCAATCCCCAGGACTGCCATTAAAATAAATAAGTAAATGGATAATCCTAATTACCTCCTACCTCAAACATATATACGTACATACGTAGATAAATAAAATACGTGTTAGCTGTCTGGATGCACTGTTCTCATCAAGAAATGAAAAGGTGATAATAATGAATTGGATGGGATGCCTTCAGCAACAAGTAACAAGACTGAATAAAATCAGTGTAAACCTGGAGGAAGTGTCTTTCTGTACCAAGAGTCCCGGACGTAGTGTCATTCCAGACGCCATCCTATGCAGCAGCTAGACATGAGGTGGCTGCCAGCGCTTTCAGCCATCGTATGAGACCCAGCGTTGTCCACAGGATGACAGAGAGCGTCTCTCTCTTCTGGAGTCCCTCGTGAACAAGGGAACTTCTCCTAGCACTCCTCCCACCTGCAGGCTTCCTTTTGAATGTCCTTGGCCAGACTGTATCCCATGTCCACCTCAAAAATAATCATTGGAAGAGGGGTTATTTTGATTGGTTGAGACCAAAGAACCTTACTGATCACCTCCTGTGGTCCCATCACCTTGGGCATTGGCTTTGCAACACTTGAATTCAGGGGGGACACAAACCTTCAGACCACAGATAGCATCCTCCAGGCCATGTGTGCGGGGTATGGACATGTAAACAAAACTGGATTCCTGTAACCCCGGGGAGAGGGGGCCGTGGAGTGGGCATCAGCCCAGGCCAGCTGCCATATTGTTGATGGTCTTTCCCAGCTCTGTGGGCACTGGTCCAGGCTGTTTTACAGGACTTTAGGGTCTCTGGGCAGGAGCATTCCAGCTCTCATTTGTTCAGATGTCCATGGATTTCTATATGGGTGCATTGTGGTATTTATCTGATGTTTTATTACAGTTTTCCTGAAATACATATGAAATACCAATTCTTCTCTTGCAGTTACATTTAATTTGAACAAAGGAGCATGTAGCTCAGCAGCAACATCTAAATCAAGGTGAGCTCCAGGAACAGGTGTCTTAGAACCCGAGCATTTTTGTGTATGTCAATTACTGCATTTTAAAAGGTGCAGTCTTGTGCATTAATTTTTTTCTGGTTGCTGTTATCTTTTTTTGTTTGTTTCTTCTTTGATGGTCGATTGTTTTATTTTCTTAGGACATATAATTGGTGGTGAGAATGTAAAATGGTACCGCTGCTGTGGAAAATAGTACATCGGTTCTTAAAAAAATTAAATGCAGAATTACCATACATTCCAACAATTCCACTTCTGGGTAAATACTCAGAGGAAATGAAAGCGGGAACTTGGATGGATATTTGTACACCAGTGTTCAAAACAGCACTATTCACAAGAGCCAAATAAGAAAAAAAACAATTACACGAGGATTCCAGTTACTCCACATTCTCTCCAACACTGGCTATTTTATATATGTATATTTTATAATGGCTATTCTAATGAATGTGAAGTAGTATTTCATCATGGGTTTGATTTGCATTTCTCTGATGATCAGTGATGTTAAGCATCTTTTCCTGTGCCTTTTGGCCATTTACATATCTTCTTTGGAGAAATGTCTACTGCCTGTTTTTTAATTGGGTTTGTTTTTCATTCAGTTTAATTTTAAGAAAAGTATCTAACAGCTTTAAATAAGTTAAAGCTTCCAAGCTGAGACAGATACCAAAGTACTGAATAATGTATCAGTGTGTTTGATGGCTCACTGTTGATGAGATTTGAGGAATCATGGAGAATGTGAGAAGACTCAGAAAGCAGAAAAGTAAGCAAATACTTTTTCCAAAAGTGGAGAAAAATCTTCCAAAAAACAATAGTAGCAAGCTGGTATTACTGATTACGATAGAAAAGAGGTAGTTTGTGAACATGTAAGAAGAAAGCAATTGCTAGGCCCCCAAATCACCAGTTAAATCGTAGCTTCCCTTCTGCTAGGGTTATCAGAGCCTGTTTGCAGAGACTTATTGTGGTTGATATGACCCAGAATTACTGCTAAATTCGGTGGATTCCTAGCTCAAAGTACATTTAAATATATAGAATATTTAAGTAGCACATTGAAGAGTGTGTCTGGACTGAATCTGTTCACAACCAATGTATATTATTTACAGTTGTCACAAACCTCAGAACTTAAAAATATGTTCAGAGTATTGAATTATGGGACAAAACCCAGTAAGTGAAATTTCATAAGGGTAAGAGTAAAGCCTTACACTTAGATAGAAAGGCTTCATTGAAGATGGAGTAGGGGCGTCCTGACCTACAAACCCTCACATACGAAGCCAAGATTTCGGCTGACTGCCAGCTACACTGGGAGTCCTTACAGTCATTCAGCTGCTAGTAAAGCTCGTCCTGCCTTTAAATGCCTTGAGAAAAAAGTCTAAATAATGGAACATAATAATTCCATTGTATCTTCTATTAATCACACTTTTTTTCATGTTTAACTCCATGTTAACTTCGTGCAAATGTATATTCTTTGTTTCATATTTTATTAGTATGACAGATTAAATACTGGGACTGGTAAGATTCAGTTAGTCAGCAAATTAACGGAGCATCTGTTTTATCCGCGTCACAAAATAGCTACTGCTACTTTACAGGGGAAAGTATATACATGTATGTCTGGTCTCCCCCTCCTGTGAGAGAGGAGTCGCATATACAAATGGTCATACACAGGGCGCAGTGGGGTGCATGCCCCAAAGTGCTGTGGTCGCTCAAAAATTGACAGGATCCAGGAAGCGTCATGAAGAATAGATCTTAAAGGATCTCGGCAAGCAGAGATAAAAGGAGAGACCACTTTAGGTATAAAAGGGGCGTGTGCAAATTTGCAAAGGCTTGAAGCATAGGATGTGGCTCAGTCAGAAGGGAGTTGTTCAGAATGACGGGTGCACATAGTAGATCCAGGAGGCACGCTGGGGCCAGCGGTGACAATTTGCTATTAACCACTAAATGTTTAGAAGGTACACCATCGACTCTAGGCCGTTGGGAGCAATAAAAATTTTTGCTTGAATTTTGAGATCTTCGCTTAAAAAAAATAGAACTGACAGCAACGTGCTGGACGTCCACCAGCCAGCTTACAAGCATCTTCCTCAATCCTTGCAGTCGAGCTGGAGTTGGTTCGCATTATTCACCCCACTTGTAGATGGGGAGCTGAGCCCGGGAAAAGTTAACTGCTCAAGGTCCCGGCAGAAATAGGATAAGACCTTGGTGACCCTAGCCCTGGCGCTGTCATCACTCTGCCGCGCTGGTGCCCTGGCACCGACTGCAGGGGTGAGGGGCAGGGACGGTCACGTGTTCTCGTGGTGCTCCCAGGCCTGTAAGTGGCAGATGCGTCTTCCATTGTTTTGACTCATCTGCTGTAGGTTAACCACAGAGCAGATTTCTTCTGTGTTGCTCTTTTTGCACATTAAAAAGCCTGTGTCTTTTTTAAAAGTCTTTTTGTTGAAGTATAGTCGGTTTACAATGTTGTGTTAATTTCTGGTGTACAGCATAGTGATTCAGTTATACGTGTGTGTGTGTGTGTGTTTATGTATGTAGGTATGTATGTCTGTGTGTGTATATATATATATATATATATATATTCCTTTTCATAGTCTTTTTCATTATAAGCGCTTACAAGTTATTGAGTAGAGTCCCCTGTTAGAAAGCCCACGTCTTTGCACCGTTTTTGTGAACAGCATGATTCTTCTTCCCGTCAGCTCTTTGGGGCCAAGTGCCCTGAAGACAATAGGAAATGCAGCATCAGTGAAGCGAAAGGAGTCTTCCCAGAGCTCAGCTCAGTCAAAGGAGAAGAAGAAGAAGAAATCAGCGCTGGACGAGATCATGGAGGTACACTTCATGAACCGCCCCTCAGCCCCAGCTGGTAGGGGAATGACGCGCTTCAAGCCAAGGGAAGTTGGTTTCACCACTTGTGAGATGAATGTGTTCGTGCTAGATTAGGGGGAGAGCCTGGGTGCTTCCATCTGAATAGGGGTGGAACCTCCCTAAATAGGGTTATTTTCTTGCCTCAAGCGCTGCCTTCGAAGCTCTCTGTGACGTTATGGTCGGTAGAGTTCATTTAGGGGGACTGCGGTGGGAACTGAAGCCAGAAATGAAAACTCTATTGCCCTCCAGTGGCTCCATGAAGTTGGCTTCCTCCTTGGAACTCCCACCAGCCTGGGCTCTCCGAGTGCCTCTGACTTCCACTTACCGCCTCCCAGCCGGGGAGGGAAAGCTCCGACACGTTTTTATTTGGTTTAACCCACTGGCCAAGTTTGTATAATGAGTCATTAAAAACCTAGGGCGACCCTTTGGCTCTAAATTCACCTGAAATTCTAGAGTAGCTCTGTGGAAGGTTCTTAATATATTCTTAAGTACACCTCCCTCCCTTCGAACACTGAGCCTTCCTGCATCAAAACGTTTATGAAATAGGTAGACGAGGTGAAGAGAAAGGATAAATGGATGCCCTGTGCTGTCATTCCCTCTAGTCTCCTCATCCCGTCTCTTCATCTGTGAAGGGACAGGAGGTGACTGTTCGGTCTTCCCTGTCACAGTCCTAACAGGTGCAGGGCGGTCAGAAAAGCTTCAAGCATAACGATGTGTGTACTAAACTGTGGGAAGTGGTCACCCCAGCACTCAGTGATCACTGAGCTGCCTTCCGTGCTGGGCGTCGTGCTAGGTCCCGCGTCTGTAGAGTAGGGAGGAAAACACTGTCCCTGCGTGTCACGGAGATTTTAGTCTAGCGAGGGGGACATTCCGAGATCAAGTGGACCAGTGGCTGAGTAATTACAAAATGCTAAGTGCTAAGGAGCTGGGTCTGAGGGCAGGGAGTGGGGAGATCGCTTGTGAGAAGGTGCCAGGGCGGAGGAGAGCTCTAGTTCAGGCCTCCCGAGGAGAGGCCCCCGGGGCCCGAGCACGGTGAGCACCAGAGAGGCGGCGCTGGGAGCTGGGGAGAGAATTAGGGGCAGCGCCACAGGGTCTTGTAGGCAGTTCTGATGTAACTCGAAGTAAATGGAAATCCAGGTCTACCTGCTCGGAATGTAATACATGCCAGATGTGGAAGATTCCTTGTTCACATTGGGAAGTTGGAGGAATTAAAGTGAGGTTTTGAATCAGCCAGAGAATTTCCTTGTCCAGTCCCTCTGAAAGTTGGCACTTCAGGCTAGCTTTAAGCAGTCGAGGAAGACAGAGGCGTGAGATACGACCAGACCGGCCATCAGCACGTTTCCCTTTTGGTCGCCCTTTTATTTTCATCTCTCTTGGCTGTGTTTTTATTCCCCTCCACTCACAGGCTCTATTACCCTTATCAAATAGGGAAGCTCCTCTTTGCAATCAAACTGCAGGCCCAGTTTGTGTGCTCAGTTGGTCCAGAAGAGTTAAGTTTTTACCCCCCGAGAGCGCTGCCTGTTTTCCAGCTCATGACAGCCGCAGCGGGGCGAGCAGGGCTCGGGCTGGTGACGCTGGCAGGTGGCCTTGCGGCAGTGACCAGAGGCGGGCTGACTGCACTTACTTTCCTGGCCGGTTGACTTGCCTTTCGCATGTTTTCTTAAATCCAAGTTCCTTTTTTTCCAATCAAAAACTAGTTGCAAAAGATGTTGGCTTATGTTTATCAGCACTTGCAAACTGTGTCGATCTTCTGCGAGGTGTGTTTTACGGTGTTCTTTTGCTGAGTAGAATGTTATTTGAAATAAATTTAGGATTTTAAAGAGGTAGCTTTATGAACGTCTTACGTATTCCCCAGATTGAAGAGGAGAAGAAGAGAACTGCCCGAACAGACCACTGGCTCCAGCCCGTACGTATTCCAGCGAGGCTGCTTAGGTTCTAAATGTGCTTTTAAGTGAATGATTTAAATAGCATTTGGTATAAATGACTGAATTTCTTAAATATGTGTAAATTCTACAGATAGTTTGATAACTTTAATGCCTCTATAAGTATTGGTTGTACCCGTATTGGAGGGTTACATCAATTTCATAGACCGGTAACGTTCCTTGAGTTTAATGCCGAATTTGCTCGTGGATACCTTGAATTTAAGCCTGGAATTATTTTCAGTAAGAATACCTAGTCAGGTACTTTGTTGAAAAAACAGGTTTTAATTATCCAAATTCAAGGAAAGCTTTGTATTTTATTGATTGTTTATTATTGCTTATTTTTAAAAATTTTTTCTTAATCTAATTTTCTAAACTTTAAAAAAAATTTATCAAATGAAAGATTCTTTAAATTCTACAGTGCTTTCCAATTTTCAAAAGTTTCACACACATAACTCCAGGTAATCTCATAATAACTCTTCTTTCCCCCAAACTCTTTATTGCCCCTCCCTGTCCCCCCTCCCCACTGGTAACTGCTGGTTTGTTCCCTGTATCTGTGAATCTGCTTCTGTTTTGTTTTATTCACTAGTTTGTTGTATTTTTTAGATTCCACATCTAAGTGATGTCATGTAGTATTTGTCTTTCTCTGCCTGATTTATTTCACTTCATTGCTTATTCTTGTAAGATAACAACTTCATAATAATTTTTAAACATTTATTAAATACTTTTAAAAGTGACTATTCATTGCTGCCCTGTTTTGAACTTACGGAAGTGTGAAGTTTTCAGAAAGCCTGCAGGGCATCTTAGTTATTCTTACAGAAGCTGGTTGGTCACAGGGCTGCTCTTAGACACGTTATTCTGCTGCTAGACATCCTCCCCTGCAAAGTCCTTGCTAGATGTTTGCTGACGTAATTTTTACCCTGGTTTATTGAAGTCCGTCTAGTACCTCTGTTGTACCTGCTTAGTGTAGCAAGTGCAGGATCCTTGTGGTGACTATGACATTGTCAGGTGATTTAATTGTCATCGTCCACCATTCGACAGCTAATCCACATCAGGAAAATATCAGCAGAGAAGCAAACTCAGAATGCACTCATATACAGTCAGCTCAGGTCTCTCTTCCATTTGAGAACGAGATGCTCAGAAGAACTGTACTGTCAGCAGGAGCTCATCTGGAGGAATCCTGCCTGTGTCAGAAATTCAAAGCAACATCAGGAGAAAAAACATTGCGGGAAGTGTCGGCCTTTATTAGCTCAGAGCCTCCATTTTCTTGCAATTCCCAGCAAGGCTCTTGCCTCTGAGTGTTCATCAGTGGTGAACACCAACCTAGAGTATCCTTGACGCTTGTCACTCCTTGAATGGAGAGAAAGAAGGACGCTATCTCTGAAAGCCCTGGATTAATAAAGTTGAGACTGGAGGATAAAAGTTTCCTAGATTTCAGGAAACCTGTGTGGAAATCAGCCACAACATATGAATTTTTTCCCCTTGGTAACCATGTTGAATAAAAACAGAAAGAAGGAATGGGAGATGACTGAGGAAATGTTTTGTCATTGTTGGGAAGGCTCACGACTCCAAAATGTCTTATTTAGCAAAGCAGTGAACGTTTTAGTATGATTTTTGGTGAAAATGGTTTAAAATGAAGGATTAAAAGGGGAAAGATAATTTATGTCTTTCCTTCCATCTTTATTTTTTCTTATTTCCTAGGAAATTGTAGTGAAAATTATAACCAAAAAACTTGGAGAAAAGTATCATAAGAAAAAGGGCATTGTGAAGGTAAGGGCATGAAGTCACGGATGGAACTGGGGAAGGAGCTGGTGGGTGGCTAAGGAACGCCGTTTTGATAGTCCTTAAAAATCAAGTCCCAGTGGCAGAAACAGTGTGTCTGAAGTTCTTGAGGATTCCATAAAAGGAAGGCCGAATTCACAATTGTCAGAGAAATATTTCGTTTCTAGCCAGAGTTTATACTTGGCCTTGGTCTGCTTTCTTACTGGAGCAAATAGTGTATCTAAAAGCCAGTGCCGCCTCCTAGAACACTCAGCGTGCACGCCTTGCTAGCCAGTGAGGTGCGTTCTCTTTGTTAATGATGGACAGTGTAAGTATGCCCCCGCTTCCAAGGAGGACTTCCTTATGTTTTGCCCAAAAGACTGTCATTAGACCACTTGAGGGTTTTAAAATTTAAAAATCGACACTCTGCTCCTTTCCTTTCTTTTGCTTTTCCTAAGGATGGTTTCACGCTAGCACCCAGCCTCATGCGTGTGTAAATTGCCCTTCTGCTGGACTTGAAATGAGGCAGAGCTGTCCCTCTCATTGTATTTCTTAAAGTCTTTTTTCTGAGATCACCAGTCTTTTCTCCCCAGATGAAAACCCTAGCTTTGAATTGAGTTCTTCAAGAACCACAGACTGAGCGCTCGTCCACGGCCTGTAGGAAGGGAACTTTGAGGAGTTGCTCTTAAATGAGTTGCTTTTACCTTTTGGTTAGAATTGCATCTGTTTCTCATTTATTTATTTCTGCCCTTTGGGATTTGTGTTCGCATCTCTCTTCTATTATAAAAGTGTTGGTTTTATGTGATAGGAAGTAATTGACAGATACACAGCTGTTGTAAAGATGATTGACTCTGGAGACAAGCTGAAGCTCGACCAGACTCACTTAGAAACAGTCATTCCAGCACCAGGTAAACCTTTCTGCAGACCTTCTAATGTGTGTCCCATCGAAATAAGTGATTCTGTTCTTAAAACCATAGCTATTGACATTGCTTGGTAGTTATAGATACGAGGTATTTTTAGAAATATATCCTTGCCAGTATAACCAGTCCCTGTTTGACTTGGCAACGTGGTGGTTTAGCAGTCCTCTGAGAAAGCTGTTTTTGTGACATGAATAAATTTTCCCCTCCTAGAATCTTTGCTTTTTATTTCTTCCAGAAGCAAATCACAGACATATCTAGATAAAGTCCATCATATTAGGATTACTATTAATACATTTGTTTAGCTACTTGAGATGGTAAAGTATAAAAACCAGCATTATTTTGCTCTTCCTTTTCCTTAATTGTCTGCCAGCTGGGCGCCTCCGCGCGCGGTGTGAGCGCTGCCGGGGTTGGGCGTCTGCCTCTGACCAGAGCTCTTGGTGTGCTGTCACTGCTGGCACAGTGATAATGTTAAGTCTCTAAAACTTCTGTGTATCAGATCCTGTGTTCTTTCTCCCTAAAATAAAATTCACTTTATGGATTAGAAATTGTGGACTTTTTTCCAGCTATAATGAGGTGTCCTTGACATACACTGCGTCTGTATAAAGTATGTTAATTTGATGTTTCAGCACGTGCATAATGCCATGAAAGCCGTCCCTGCAGTCCATTAGTGAAAGAATCCATCACCCCCAAAATGTCCTCAGTTCCCTTTATGATCCTTCGCTCCCCACTCCGTTCCTTCCTCCACGTCCCGCAGGCAGCCACCAGTCTGCTTTCCGTCACCGTAGATTAGCTCCCATGTTTCTAGAATTTCTGTAAGTAAGTTGTACAGTGTGTCCTATGTTTGTCTGATTTCTTTCACTAAGCATATTATTTTGGATTCATCCACGTTGTCATGTGCATCTGTAATTCATCCCTTTTTATTCCTGAGTGTTTTCACTCTGTGGACGCACCACAGTGTCCTTACCCAGTCATCTGCCGGTGGACATTGGGGTTGTGTGACAGCTTCTGGCTGTTACAAATGAAGATGCTAAGAATATTCACGTCCAGGTCTTTGTATGGATAGATGGTTTCTATTGGGACAATTCTTAGAAATAGAATGACTCAATCAGATGGTAAGCGTGATGTTTACATTTTTATGAAACTGCTAGCCATCTCAGGATTTTACAAAGAGAGAAATGAAAGTAAGCTGAAGTTGTTCTGATTATGTCTGGGCTCTGGGACACAGCCTCCAAGAACCGTCCGCACCTTGCAGTCTGCGATTTAAACATCCCTTTGACAAGCGGGAAAAATGAGTCTCGTACTGCCATAGTAATCAAAGTAACTACAAGCTATACTTCAGAATCTTACAAATATTAAATGAGTAAGAACTTCTTGAGGTGGGGTGGGGATAGAGCTCAGTGTAGAGCGCATGCTTAGCCTGCGTGAGGTCCTGGGTTCCATCCCCGGTACCTCCATTAAAAAAATAAATAAACCTAATTACTGCCCCACTCAAAAAAAATTGAAAAAGAGGAACTTCTAAGAGAAGGGTTTTATTTTCCATTATGTTGATTCAGTGTAACTGCATTTGACTGTAAGAAAGTAGACGAAACTGGACATTTTCTTTGTATTAAGTGTTAACTGTTTTCTGTTGTAGGGAAAAGAATTCTTGTTTTAAATGGAGGCTACAGAGGCAATGAAGGCACCCTAGAATCCATCAATGAGAAGACGTTTTCAGCTACTATAGTCATTGAAACTGTAAGTGTATTTACACAAAGACAGAAATGTCAGAGTGCTTTTGAAATGTGCCATGTGTTTTTCTCACTGGATTGGTGTTTTATTTTAGAGTTTGGGTGTTCTGTTTGCCCTCCCTCCTACTTGGAAGTCTATAAGCTTATTTTCTCTAATAACTGTCATTGCTAGAGCATTTTATTTTCTGATTACTAGAGAAATGCCATACATTGTCTTAATCTGTTCAGGCTATGGTAACAAAACACCATAGGATGGCAGGGAGCTTGTAAACAGCAGAACTTTATCCCTCACATTCCTGGAGCTTAAGTCCAAGATCAAGCACAGGCGGATTTGGTGTCTATGCAGGTCCTGGTTCCTGGTTCAGAGGTCCCCACGTGGTGGAAGGGGCAAAGGAACACTCTGGGCTCCCCCTTAAGGGCACTAATCCCCTTCCCGAGGGCCCTGCCTCATGACCTCGTCACCTCTCCAAGGCCCCACCCTGATGCCATCACTTTGTGGATACATTGGATGAATTTGGGGAGGGACTCAAGCATTCAGCCTGTAGCAATGCTCTTGTATAAAAAAGCTAAAAACTACAGTTTAAATAATCTTTTAATTAATCCGTAATCCCCTAGGCAAACGATAACCTCCATTCACATTTTGGTCTGTTTTTTTCCCCAGCCTTTCTGTTTCATAAAAGTGTACATAATAGGGATAATTTCACTTCCCAGTTCTCCCCTCACATCTAACGTGGAGCTCAGTCTGCCGTAGTGTGATCAGCGGGGAATGTATGGTCATAGCTGATCGGGGAGAAGCCACAGAGGTCAGCAGTTTTTTTAATGTCCTTCTTTCATAAAGGATGTAAGGTAGGAGAGATTAATGAAGTAGTTAATTTAAAGAGCTCTAATGATTAGGTAAAATTGCTTACTGATCTAGAGCTGACAGCTCACTGACAGGTCTGCGCGTGAGGGCGCGTGAGGCCTAAGCTGTCTTCAGAAGGAGGGTCTGAAACACACGT